GTTGGAGGAACAAGACAGTGGAGTGAACGTAGAATAATAGAATTGAAAGAGACCTTGGAGGTCTTCTAGTCTAAGCCCCTGCTTGAGCAGAAGATCCTATACCATTTCAGATAAATGATTGTCTAGTCTCCTTTTGAAAGCCTCCAGTGATGGAGCACCACAAATTCTGTAGGCAAACTATTCCATTGGTTGATTGCTCTCACTGTTAGGAAATTTCTCGTTAGTTGTTCTACGTTGCTTCTCTCTTTAGTTTGTTTCCATCCATTGTTTCTTGTCTTGCTTTCTGATTCTTTGGAAAATAGCCAAAATAACTCCTTGTCTTGGTAGGAGTCTCTCAAATATTGGAACAGTGCTTCTCTAATCCTTCTTTTCAGAGAAAGTGAAGAAAATAGAGCTGTTACAATTATTTCAAAGCTTGGAAATAACAGAAGATATTTATTTCTTGTTCCTCTATATGATTAATTGTAAAGGTAAAGGTTTCCCTCGCACATATGTGCTAGCTGTTCCCAACTCTAGGGGGCAGTACTCATTTCCATTTTAAAGCCGAAGAGCCAGCGCTGTCTGAAGACATCTTTGTGGTCATGTGGTCAGCATGACTAAACACCGAAAGCGCACGGAACGCTGTTACCTTCCCGCCCAAAGGTGGTTCCTATTTTTCTACTTGCATTTTTACATGCTTTTGAATTGCTAGGTTGACAGAAGCTGGGACAAGTAATGGGAGCTCACTCCATTACATGGCGCTAGGGATTCAAACTGCTGACCTTTTGATCGACAAGCTCAGCGTCTTAGCCACTGAGCCGCCGCATCCCCGACAAATACAATCAATCAATGATTGGTACCATCAAATCAGTGCCAATTCTTAGTAACCATGTAGATGGACTTTCACCATAACGACTTCTCCTAATCCGGTTCTTCAGGTCTCCCGAGGGTGCTTCTAGTGCTCCTGTAATGAATCCTTCCACCTTGCTGTTGGTTGTCCTTCCTTTGTTCCACCTTTCCTAGCATCAGAGCCTTTTCCAGAGAGCTTAGTCTTTGCATCAAATATCAAAAATTATGATAATTTGAGCCAGTTCATTTGTGCTGGAAGTGAGAACTCTAAGTTTTAGATTCAGCAGCTGCTATTTGCTAAGGAAAAGTATACTCTTTAGTGTAATGTAGTGAAAGCAAAAATCATGACTTTCTCACCTGATAGAAGTTATATATCATTGGTCAATGCTGGTTCCTTTTTCTTTCCATCAAATTCTGCTTGTTTAGACGGATGGAAGTATGTCCTGATTCCTTAAGCAAGTATCTGTGAAATATTAATTCAGGAAGGAAGTAGTAGTTTGCTGAGGATCTCATGAATTCTGGTTCATGAATCTAATGAACCAAATGAACCTTTGCTATTGGTGAAGTAGGGATTCAGCTGTTAGACTATTTTTGGACATGGAACTTTCCTTTTTTATATATCTTATGTTTCAAGGCAGAAAACTTAACTGGATTGTTTTCTGTTTTCTCCTCAGGTTCATGACTATGGAGGCCTGACGTTTGGACCTGGGTGTTACCATTAGAAGTATGGAACATATTGACCATTGCCAACATGATTGCTCTGCCCCAGTTCCAAATGGATATGGAACCAAGAATTTTCAAGCCAACCCAAAAGAAAGATGCACCGAACAGGTGTATCCTAATCCAGGTGCCATTGGTGACCCTGGCAAAGAGGATGAGGGTAAGAATAAGAAGAAGGCCAGGGGCAGTTGGATTTGGAATTTTGTTGGCCGCAAGAAAGGATCCTCCATGAATCCCAAACGGCCCCAATCCATGATATTCCTTGGAGACCATGTGGAGATCATGGAGCAGACTCGTAAGATGTCTTTCATGGAAAGAGTGAGATCCTATAAGAAGCTACGGAATTCTAGTCTATCTAGAAATACATCCAAAGCAAAAGCTATCATCATCTCAGTGGAAACTCAAGAAGATCTAGAACAAAAAGCACTCCATAGGATTAGAAAGCTCAGTGACAGCCAACGGCCTTACCGTCACTCCTATGCTGGCTTCATTGAGGACTTGGATTCTTCATTTGAAGATATTGAACTAAATAGCTGTATGTTGGATATTGAATCCAGTGAAAGCAAATGGCACAGGGGGCTAGAGTTGGGAGTCAGTAGTAGCAATGCTGATAATTATTGTTACAACATGTTGGCTCAGAAAAATGTGGCCCCCGAGTTTGAAAAAATTCCAGAGTCTAGGGATGCTGAAGGACATTCTCAAACAAAAGATGCTCCGGTAGCTCCTGAGAATAAGAAAGGAAGAAGTTCGGATGTCTGGGGATATCTAAAGGGGGTTTCGTTGACAGGCAAGGACTGTTCCAAGCTGGAGAACCCCACTGCAGAACTGGGTTTTCAGAGTTTGAAAAATGCAATGGAGAGTCCTCCTCCTTATCTTGCTTTCACTGCAGGATGCAAAGATGACATTAGCCAGACTAAAAAGCCTGGCCATGGAGGGAAGGGAAGTCATTTTGGTGGTGTCCTTAGGTTTTTTAATAGCATGGCTGGGGCAGCTAGGAAATGGCGGGGATCTTCCAAGACATTTTCTCAGGATGAACCACAAAAAGTCTCCAACTGTGCCCAGCAAAGGCTGGAGCGATCTCATCGAAGGCAACCTTTGATAATTGCAAATGACAATGCTAACAATTTCTCATTAACTAGACTGACACCTGATTCTGAGATGTGGGATCACCCTAGTTCCAAAATCTCAGCTGGTCAAGCTCCACTCCAAGGAGATACCAATGGTAAGATGTCTCATGAAGCCTTGAAAGCCCACAGCAATGAAAGACCTTGTTCCCCTCTTAGGAAAAGTATGCCATCTTTTCCCCACTCAGAACGTCCAAACGATGGCCTGATTCTCAATGGACGTGGCTTACATGCAGAACTGCTACAGAAGCAGGAGATTCTTGCTAACAAATTAAGTGATGAGGACCCAGGTTCTGCTCCAGGAGATCCCTGGATTTTGCCCCCTTGGAACCCAGAGAATACCCGGTCCTCTTTTGCGGTTTCAGCAGATTCCCAGAGCTTGGATACGGAAGAGTTAAAGTCTCAAGATCTGACGAAGGCCGAAATGGACATTGCAGGCCTGGAAAAGGATTCTTCTTTGAATTGTGAAGAATGGTGTGATAGTGAAATGGATATCAAAGTGGTGTGTACTTCTGCCGAGGATTTTAATGCTCTCACAAGTGTAGCAGATACTCCAGATTTGGAGGAGGGATTAATAGATAACCAGATGCCCAAGGGGGTTCTAGGAGAAAACCATCACCATGCCTGTGTGCAAGGAGATAACCCAGGGTGTGCAAGGACTCTGCCAAATGTTGGGGTTTTAGTAGGTTCCTCCGCAGAAACTCGGAGTTTAGGAAGTATTTTGGAGGACATTCGCAATCCCTGCACACCACTAGCCTGCTCATGCCACAGTCAGCAGGTCCTAGACCAAGAACCTTCTTCTATCAGAGCAAATGGTGGCATTTTTCTGCTACGGCAGCCGTGGAAATCCCAAGAATCCGAACATTTTAAGTGCAGAAATGTTTATTACCCTATCCAGATGAGCTTATGTACAATCGTCTCCCTCAATGAGTTAAATAATGGAAAGGTAAGATTTCCTGTTCGGTCTGATGATCAGTTCTAACTACTTTCTCTTAACTGTTAAATGAAGCTATGCGGGCAGTCTTTAATTTACAACCATTTTTGTAGTGACTGATCTTACGATGATACTGGAAAAGGGACTTACAACCATTGCAGCCCCATGGTTCAGGGGTGAAATGCTACCAATTTAGGCTGGTTCGCCTGAACTGGTAGCAAAAAATACTACTGGTTTGCAGAACCCGTAGTAAGAAATGCTAAAAAAAAGTTTTTTTAAAAAAAGTTTCAACGATTTCATGTTGCACAGCCAAAAACGGGGTGGGTGGGTCCATTTTTGATCCTAGGAGGCTTCCTGAAGCCTGCTAGGCCAAAAACAGGGTGGGGCGTGCTGAGAAAGAAAAAAGGAAAGAAAGAAAGAAAAAGAGAAACAGAGACAGACAGAAAGAAAGAAAGAAGAAAGAAAGAAAGAGGGAGGGAGGGAGGGAGGGAAAAAAGAGAGGAAGAAAGGCGTACAAACCTGGCACTAGACACCCCCGTCACATGACTACATAGTCACATGACCCCACCAAGCCCCTCCCACAGAACCAGTAGTCATTTTTTTTTAGATTTCATCACTGGTCACATAATCAGAATCCAGGCGCTCAGCAACTGGCGATGCATTTCCAGTGGTTGCATTGCTCTGTGATGACCATTGGCCACCTTCCTAACCACCTTCTGATGAGCAAAGCCAGATTTGCATAACAGCCACCTGATTCACTTAACAACCATTGCAAAAAGGTGTTAAAATCAGGCAGGTCTCACTTAACAACTGCTTTGCTTAACCGTGGAAATTCTGGTCTCAATTGTGGTCATAAGTCAAGGACTACCAGTAGTGCAGTGTTTCACAACCTTGGCTGGACCTCCATTCCCAGAATTCCCCAGCCCACAAAATGAAGTGGTGAAATGGAGAAGCCATTGCTGGAGTGAGTTTGATATCAAACTGATCTATGAAGAGGGATTTCACACGGGAGCATTTCTTGGACTGCTTTCTTGGAACTCACAGATTTATGTTTTTTATGATTTTTTTTCTTAATGTCCGGGTTCTAGTATTTATAGCAGGTTTCTTCCTCCACTCCAGAGGTTGTCTAATGGGGGTAGTCCTCAATGTATGACCACAATTGAGCCCAAACTTTCTGTTGCTAAGTGAGACTGTTAAGTAAATGTTGTCATTTTATGACCTTCCCTGCTACAATTGTTAAATGAATCATTGCAGTTGTTAAGTGAATCTGATTCCTCACTGACTTTGCTTGTCAGGAAGTCGTCTTAAATATGAGACAGTTGCCAAGCACCGGAATTTTAATCACAAGATCATAGAGATGCTACAATGGTCGTAAGTGTGAAAAATGGTCATAAGTCTCTTTTCAGTGCCATTGTAATTTTGAATTGTCACTAATTGAACTGTTGTAAATCAAGAACTACCTGTAGTTTATAGTGTGATTTTTTCTGACACTGGAAAAAAAAATCAGTGTATTTCCATTTTCCCCTCCCAAGAAAGCTTGGAAAAACTGACTCAAGGAACCCACTTCAAGCACAGCCACTGGCCGCAATAAGTGAAGTGCTAAAATTCTTGTCTGCACTAGCAGACGGTATCGTAGTCCTCCCATTGATAATACGGACTTTTAAAAAATGAAAACCTCATTTGCCATTGTTTATATTTAGCTGTGCGGATATTTTCTGGCTTTGCTTTTTCCTGCATCCCATAATAGCAACAAGTGGTCCACCAGTTGCAGAACTTCTTTCTTTCACTGTGGTCTTGAAGTGCCCTCTGCAGGTTGCCTGTTAAATGTGGATTTTTTTTGGAATTAGAGAAGCAGATTTTCTGCCCCTCATTTTGGTATATGAAGGCTCTGCCCTTAGTTTTCAGCCCAAAGTCATTTAACCCCTGATGCCTAACCGAGTTAAGAGTTTTAATGCCAAGAGGTTCTTCAGGAACAGCCTCTTCTTTATTTCAGTCTCTACTGTTGATATTTGAACCAAAGGCTCTTTTCCAGAAGGCTACTGGTCTTTCTTGGTTTTTTTCTTTGAAAACATTTTGCTTCTTATCCAATTTTTTTTCAGAACCGAAGAAGCTTCTTGGATGAGAGGCAAAACATTTTCAAAGAAAAAAACAAGAAAGTTCAGTTGTCTTCTGGAAAAGAACATTTGGGACAACCGTGGCCTGGATGACTGAGAGTCTCCATAGAATTCGACTTAATAACTTTGTTTAACAATTGTCTGTGGTGATTCTCTATCAATCATGCCTGATTGAGACATAGTTGTCTCAAAAGGTGCTTTTCAAAAGGCAACTGGACTTTCTTACCTTTTCCTTGAAAATGTTTCACTTCAAATCCAAGAAGCTTTTTCAGAATATTTTCAAGGGAAAAAACCAAAACAGTTCAGTTGCCCTTTGGGAAATCACCTTTGGGAAAACCATGACCTGGATGATTGAGACTCTCCATAGACGCTGATGTTTGAATTTGGTCTTGGTTCATCAATGAAGTCCTGCTCCATAATACATTTGAATTTATTTTTGCAACTCATCATCCTTGCTTGGCCAAGTGGTCTTCACTCATCCTTAAGTTAGAACTGAGTTGCCCAACTGGAAGATGTGTGAACTTCAACTCCCAGAATTTCCCAGTTGGGAAACACTGAGTTAGAAGGAAGCCATAGTAACATGAAATATAATTGTTGGTCATTGTCCTTCCTTGGTTCTCGTAGTCGCTGAGTTCCCCCAGCTGCCAAACCTAACAACATTTCTCAATTTTGAAATTGTCTTTGGACAGCATCAAATATGAGGCAAAAAGTGTCTTTAATACTGGAATGATTAAGGAGAACGAAGTCTGTCTTGTTGATGGTCTGGAGATGAGATGAAGGCAATGTTGTGGAACATGAAAAAAGAAATGTTTTTCCATGGTTAGGTTCACACAGGGGAAAAGTTCATACAAGGTGCTCCATTATGATTACTTTAGCCAGGGTTGATGAATCCCACATTTGGGTTATTTTTGTTGATTGAATTCACCCAACCACTACAATTCAGTCAGCCCTGTTAATAGCTTGAGGCCATGTCTGGACTACGTCTGTACAATTATGTAAGAGAGCTGGATACAAACCAATTTTATGTAGTGCTGCCTTCCATTAGTCAGCCAAAGAGTTGATTGCATTATTCAATTCTTTGTAGTAGAAAATATTTCCACAAAGAGAAGAATGGGGACCTGGCTTGCCACACAAAGAATCAAAAGTCTTAAATTGAATCTAGGATTTCCGGCAGAGAGGAAATAGTTTGCCTGGTTTGTGTGTTTTTATGCACACTCTTTCATTGGTGAAATGTTAACACATTCTCAATCCTGCTGGTACGGCAGATAGATAAATAAAACCTGAATGATTCCTCTGAGTGAAGTCCTGGGCTTTGGGGAGAAGAAAGGAATGTTTTCAACTTCTAGGATTAAAGGAGGCTTGTCCCCTTGTTTTTCATTCTAGACATACCCAATACTTGTAACCGTTCTTCATATCTTTTACCCTTCAACCCCCTAATCATTGTTGTTGCTCTTCTCTGCATTCTTTCCAGAGTCTCAAAATCTTTTTTATGTTGTAGTGACCAGAACTGGATGCAGTATTCCAAGAGTAGTCTTACTAAGACTTTGTAAATTGGTACTAGAACTTCATGTGATCTTGATTCTATCCCTCAATTAATGCAGCCTAGAATTGCATTGGCTTTTTTGGCTGCTGCCGCACACAGCTTATATTTAAGTGATTGTCAAGATCCCTCTCACAGTTCTTTCCAACCCAGTGGCAGGTTGATAGGAAATTCTGTGATTGGGTCTACCTCTATCTACCACCTTGCCAGGGTTCCAAATAATAAGTCCCATTCAATAAGAACTCCGAGGCAGGCAATTTCCTTAAAGAACATTTTATTAGGACACATCAAACAGGCAACATCCTGGTGGAAAACTGGCTCTAATTTGGTGCCAATTTTCCCCCTTAATTAAAAGTAAGACTTCATTATTTCCCCTCCCAAAGTCTCACTCACATGGTCCAATCAGCATACAGTCCAGTGCAGGATGACCTTAGCTCCACCCTGCAGACGCCTGCACGGACGTGCTTGATTCCCAGGGGAAATTTTTTTTTTAGACTACAAGACTGCAGCTAATCTCTACTCACCCCCTCCTTAGCCCCTCCATACCAGGCTGTGCCAGCTCTGAAGCCGTGAGAAAAAACTTTCTCTAGCAACTACATAAAAAGAAAATGGTCACAGTTCAGCCAACTTTGGGGCTGACTCCACCTCTTCTAAGCAATGTTGCTATTTTGGGATGTCTGGATGACAGGCTGGAAGCCCACTTCTTAGAAACCCTCTACCCAGCTTTAAGCTGTGCCCATCCTACTCAATTCTGTGTCAACGTTGCCAATGGCCAGTTCAATTGAATCCGAGGCATGTTTTTCCTTGGAGCCAGTTCCAAGAACGATTTCCCAAATAACCACATTGGTCCAACATACAGGTGGACCTTGATATACGACCGTAGTGGGGTCTTCCCATTATGGTTGAATGTTGTGATGGTTGTGAAATGGGTCAGTCATACGACCCAATTTTGCATCATTTTTTTTGGTGTGAAGGTCATTAAGTGATTACTTAAAGCAAATGCTGCAGTCATTAAGCAAACCAATGGTTTGCTATGGATGCCGTTTTGCTAAAAACCAGCAAATTTTTGGTAAAATGTTGTCATGGGATTCTGGGATGCTGCAAACTGTTGCAAATGTGGCTGTCAAGCTGGCCTCCTTCAGCAACCAAGAGGCTGACAGTGGCCCTGTTGCGGAGCATCTGAAATTAAAATCGGGTGATTGCAGAAGGTGCCTGACTATGGGAACTTTGGGTTGTAAGCTTCCTTTTTCAGATCAGTCATAACCTGGAGTGGTTGTTAAGTGACTGGACATTAGAAGTACTTGAATTGTTGCTTCTCCACTGAGTCATGAGCAGCAGTGCAGGATTGTCTCCATTGA